AAGAGAAAACAACTCTCAAATTATGGCCAGGATCAAGAATCATATTTTCTCCCCAAATGTCCCTGTAGTTCTCTCTGTAGTCATAGCTACAATGGACCTAGCATTTCCATGTGGAGTTCACTGTGAATGATTGTCGTGGTGAAGCTGAGCTTTCAGAGCAGAGCCTAAGTCTTCATCTTCCTGAAGCACCTGCAGGGTCTGTCATGAGAAGGACAATGCCATGTGTCCAGCAATGACATGCTGAGAGAGGAGCAGATGCCCATGGGAGATGTCCTTTGAAGGGAAGTGACATGCCTTTGGTCACATTCAGCTTGAAGGACTGACTCAGGGTGGGAATGGGGTCTCCTGTCTTCTCCCTCTCAAGATGTGTGGAGATGAGAGAGATGTAGCCAGGGTCAGAGTAAATTTCATTTCTTCCTGAAATGTCTCCGGAAGCCCAGTGCCCACTCAGTCACACCTCAGGGGAACTGAGAGGCAGGGTCATGGGGAGGAGATGTTGGACTTCCTGTGTGGTGACTGTCATGGCAACGCCTTGAAGGACAGAAGTCAGTGTCGAGGTGACCACAGCCTGTGTGCCTGTCTCTTCTGCCGGGCGCCAGGGCCTCGCTCCTTTGCGGGTACAAAGACAGTGTGTGGAGCAGCTATGTTCACCGTGCTAACCCCCTTGCTCTTCCTGGGTGAGATCTGAGGGGGGTGAGGGGAACACTAGTCTGGGTGGGACCCCTGGCTCACATCTAATCTGATCTAAGACGTCAGGAGGCAGAGGTGGGGGAGAGGGTGTGCTCGGGCATTGAGGCCAAATCTCTCAGTGGGATGTCTCTTCCAGGGCTGAGTCTCTGCCAGAAGATGGAAGCACAGACTGGTGAGTCCTGTGGGGTTTTCAGAGATGTGAGTTCTTGGAATCTGGTGGAGTTATGTCTTCAGGGTGTGTGTGTGTGTGTGTGTGTGTGTGTGTGTGTGTGTGTGTGTGTGAAAGAGAGAGAGAGAGAGAGAGAGATGGGGATGGGAGATAAGGTAAGTAAAAATTTCCTAAAATTCCCTCTGATCCCTTCCAGGGACTCTTCTCAAACCCACTATCTGGGCTGAGCCTGGCTCTACAGGCATGGCTGGGAGACCTGTGACCATCTGGTGTCAGGGGTCCCTGGAGGCTATGGAATACCAGCTGCATAAAGAGGGCGTC